AATTTAGTAGGGAAGGAAAAGGGGGCAGAAGAAGAGAGGTCCAGAGGATGTAAGGGTTGTGGCAGAAGGGACAAGGTATGGGGAGTGCTGGGAAGTCAATGGTGAGGAGGGTATGAGGGGTAAGGGGCAGGAAGGTATGGAGAGCCAGAAGGGGTGAAGGACAGAGATCAAAAGAGGGTTGGAATCTGAAGTAGAGGTTGGGGGGACTGGGATGGGTGATGGGAGGAGTGGGATAGGATGGATGGCAGAGAGGAGAGGATATGGAGTAGGTTAACAGGTTGATATAAGCGGAGGTGCCCGGAAAAGCAGGGGTTGAAGGAGTATGCATACAGTGATATGGGTTAGAGAGAGATGCAGGGTGTGGTCTGGGAAGGGTTTAGGGTAATACACAGATGTTTGGGAAGGTTATGGGGTTGTTGGTACGTTGATGAGGGGCAAAAGGAATGATTATAATGTGGAAGGAACATGGGAGTTGTGGGAGTGAGGGGGCTAGAGAGATCCAGGTGGCTACTTTCCCACTGCCAACCTTAATTCACTATGTCCTCGACTTCACAATAAACCTCACCTTTTGTCTGTCTCTACTCCAGAACTCGCTGTCTCTTGCCCTTCTCAGAACCCCATACAGACATTCGTAGGACATGAGCTTCTGCAGATCAGCAGGCGCCTCCCCAAGGGCAGCCTTTGCCACAGTTCCTAGGAGATTGCTTATTGACTGTCTCTCCTTCTTCTACCCTCAAAACAGGGAGCAGGGCACCCTTTCAGGCTGTTAAGAGTCCTGGGTCAGGAAGGCTGATTACAGGGCACTGTGTTCTGCCTGCCAGTTGGGAGTGACAAAAGGGACCACTGACTAAACTGGAGCTCCTGGCCTTTGCCTAATGCCCCGAGTTCCCAGTTCTCAACATCCCGAACCAGCATTAGCCCGGGAGTCCTGCTTGGCAGGAAAACTGTGGCAGGTGGGAGGAGAGAGGAAGGCAGTGAGGCAGAAACAGATGCTAGCCGGAGTGGAGGAAGAGCAGGGCCCCAGTGGGGATGGGCAGAAGTCGAGGCGCTGGCTCTGGCAGCCTCCCACCCTTTCCCGGTGTGTGGGTGTGTTAGGTTCAACTTTCTTCCCCAGCTCTCCCCATCCAATGCCACTGTTCAGCGGCCAGGTTCTGCTTCCCAGCTAAAAGAGACCACAGAGGTTACCTGGGCCAACTATTCCCCCAAATCTAGTGTTGGCTTCAGTCAAAGCATCTGCCCCAGGGGTCTGCCTGGATCAGGCCAGGTATTTCCTGGAGGCAGAAGCTCACCTCCTCCTGAGGCAGTCAGTCTCTTCTTTGAAAGAAAGAAACTTAACCAAGCAACCCTGATGCGTCAGGCCTAGCGGGGCTGTACAAATTTCTTGTGAATAATGACCTTACCAGGTTGTTGGGACAGGTCAGCCCCATTTTACACATGAGAAAAGCAAGGCTGAGAGAGTTAAAGTCCAAAGCTCAAGGTCACCTGGTAGGTAATAAATCAAAGAGCTAGCTTGGAACTTAGAACTTTCTACCTACAAAGAGGCCAAGCGGGATATGCTTCTTTTACAACTGCTTTGAGGTGTGGGGACAGAGAGAACAACGTCTTGAGTCTCCTCTTCTCCACATGAAATCATCCTCAAACTCTTTCCAGTTGAACTTGGCTTCCAGCTTCCTCCACAACCTGGTCAGAGTGAGACCCAGAAACAAACGCACAGCTGGCCAGGTGGGTGTGGGCCAGTCCAGAGTAAAGTACAATCCCTTCCTGGGATTAGCCTTGATTAATGCAGCCCCAGAGCCAGTAACAATGCTGAGAACTGTCTTTCCCTGAGGCCTCTAAGCCGTCTTGGATCAAGAGCTACTGGAAACAGAAGCTGGAGATTTGCTCTCACCTGCTTCACTCCTTCCAAACTGAATGCTGTGAATTGGGAGCAGGAAAGAGGCAGAGATGGGGGAAGAAGCCATGAGAAACCAGGCAGGGTCCTAGCAGGACCAGGAGGATGGAACGCTGTGATGTAGGAAGTGATTGCCTGTTAACCTTCTGTGGGGAAAGGGGAGAGGGGGAGCCAGACAAGGGGTTACACAGGAAGATAAAGGATTGGTGGGGCATGGCCCCAGGGGTTGGGAGAAGCAAGGGTGGGGATGAGCATGGTCCTGCCTAGGTTAACATCGTTTGTGCTGTGAAAGAGGAAGTCAGTCGCACATTAAGGAAATGTTGCAGCTGGTACTAAATTGGGAGGTGTCACAGGCAGCAGCGAGGACAGGTATGATTCTTGGGGCCCCGTGAAGCCGGAAACAGGGGCAGACATTGCAAGAGGGAAGGACAGGTTTCTGGAAACAAGGGAGGGCCTCCAGGTTTGGTTTCCTGAAGTAGAGGGAGCCTCCTCATCCTGGCCTGGGGCTCTCCCACTCTGGGGAAACTCAGACAGTGGGAATCATTTGCCAAGGATCTTGTTCTGGGTGGGAGCTGAAGAAGAACCTTGGAGGCTGGGAACAGGCTCTGGGCCAGCAAAGAGAGCCTGCGGGGAAGACAGGCTGAGGGAGCGAGGAGAAAGGGAAGGAGAGGAGAGCAGCTGCTTTGGAGAGCCCTTGAGGATCTGTTGAAGAAGGAGAGAGCATTGGAAGAGAGGTGGGAAAGACCGGAAGAGAGCTGTGGAGCTGGCAGTGCCCTTCTGCCAGCACGGCCGGCAGCAAGAGAGCAGGAGGAGTTTGCTTGCTCACAGGAGAGACAAGGAGACAAAAGAGAGGAGGGCGGGCCAAAGGGAACTTGACAAAGGCCATGACAATAGCATGAGCTTTGCACCAGAACATGCTGTTCAGAGTCCCTGTGCTCCTGCTCATGAGCCGAGTGACCTTACGGCTGACTGTCTGATCCCCTTGCACCTTGGTTTCCTCGTCTGTGACAGGGGTGATGATGCTAATATGACTGACCACCTTGGGCAGTGGTGACCGCATAATGTATGTGAGAGGGCTTGGAAACCCCAAGCAGTACATCAATGTCAGATATGAAGTTCTATTACCAAATACCATCAGTCACCTCTTCTCACTCAGATCTCACAGAAAACCCAGGAAGTGGGCATAGCAAGGATTATTACGCCCATTTTACAAAGGAAGGCTAACACAAGTGAAAGACTTGCCCAAGGTCATACTGCTAACAAGTCGCAGAGATGATAGGACCTATTGAATAGAGAGATCAGCTGCCTTTCTCCTGCCTGGCAAAGACAATGTGAGAGATTGTGATTTAGTGTAGGACCAGTCAGAGCTTGGAGCCAGCTCTGAAGGAAGTCCTATGGGAAATCGTGGTATGGCTTTCATTCATGCTGGCATGCACGAATGAGAGAGAGAGAGAGAGAGAGAGAGCAAGCGAGAGCGAGCGTACAGTTGGTGCCATGGGACTGGAGGGAGAGCCATAACAGACAGGCATCTTTTACTCTGCTGGTGAACCACATCTGTCTGCCACTATGGAAAGTGTTTGTCTGTATTTTGATACACCAAATTCAACGTGTCCTTCTTTGAGGTGGCAATACTTCTGTTTGCATGTCCCTGACAGTTAGGGAGATGTGTGTGACATGATGTCCACTTCTATGGGTCTGTGCTGTGACAATCTGTCAATCTCTATGTGACTTTCCTCAGGTGGTGGTGGTAGTGGTGGGGATGGTATACAGCAGCATATGTGTGTGTCTCTCTGCCCGTATACCTTTAAGAAGTGCAATATCTCATTTGGTAGTTTGAGTGAGGCAGTGAGTCAGCTGAGGCTGAGAGAGGTGGGAGGGAGACTGCTAGGTTACGAGAACAAGAAAAAGGAGAAGGAGAAAGTGAAGTTAGGAGCAAGGAGTCACTTCTTTCCTCCTCAGTCCCCTGTCCCAAATCCTTCTGAAGCCCACCAAGAACATCAAAGGCTTGCCCAAGTCGCCGTGGGTCATATCACCGTGGAAAGGGACACCTTCTCCCCTCTCCCCAAACCTCTGAAGGGAGATGAGCTAGGCTAACAGGCAAGTGTCTTCCCCACTAGCTTTCGCCCTGCTGCTCCAGGATGTGTAAGGTCCCCAAGCCACCTGGTCTCCCTGTCACCTGACCCTTTGACCTTGCTGTTCTTTCTTCCCTCCCCCAGGGCAGGCCATCTGGCCAGGTCAGGAGAGCAGGGCGGTGGCATTGGGTCTAAAGGCTTATAGCCCTCTACTTCAACTGTCCGGAACAAGGCTGCTGCCCATGAAGAAGTTTCATAACATTCTGTTCTTCTCCAGACAGGATGCTCTGCAGCTGCCTCACCTCGATACTGGCTGCCTGTCTCCAATAGGCAGAAAAAGCTAGCTTTCCCTCCACTGCCACTCCGGGGCGCTGGGAAGGCACCAAGCTTCCGTGGCTCTCCTATGAGCCCCCCTGTTCGCTGCTCCCAGCTCTCGGCTTTCTCCCGCGCGGGGCCACCCTGGTCATGTAAGGTCAACAGTGCTGTGGGCCCTACCCCCAAGCGTGCCCTTCCTCTCACCCGGTGGCAGGAGCCAAAGGCTGAGGGTTAGGCTGCTAAATATTCTTCCTCCTGCATTTGGCCTTCCTCCTTGCACCAGCTAGCCTCAGAACTTCCGTTTCCAGCGCAGGAAAAGAGGAGAGCGCCGCTGGTTTAGCACGGAAGGCTATAGGGGAGTACAACGTCTCTCCCCCCGACCCCCCGCCACCCTTTCGGCAGCGCCCCCCCCACCCCCAGAGCCGTCCCTCCTGGTGCAGGGGCGGGGTACCACAAAGTCCCAGCCCAGAAGGTCCCCCAAAAGGCCCAATGTACAGAAGTTGGCCAGGTGGTCACCTGACCCTAGTCCCCGAAGCCCCTTCCCTAGGGAGGATCCCGGGGGTGGCACTTAAGAGGAGCTGCACCGGGAACCCTTGGGAGAGGTGGGCTGGGTGGAGCCCAGACCTTTTATGTTCATGGTCCCGTGGTGGCTGCCGCTACCGCCGGCGCCACCGCCACTGCCGCCCGGGCAGTTGTAAGGGGCCGCAACCGCCGGTCCCTACCTTACAGCCTTTCGTGCACGACCGGATTGAATACTCTTCCGCCTGTAAGTATTTATGCAGCACGAGGTCGAACTCATCATATTTTTCCTGAGCATGTCGGTCCAGCCGCTGGTACGCCTCAATACAGTTGCTACATACCTCCCAGGCCCCGGAGCCCGGGCTGGCCACCACGGCCAGCAGGTCCCCCAGCAGGGTGTCCAGACTGCAGTCCAGGCTGTCGGGACGGTCCATGCCCAGCAGCAAGTCCCAAACCGTGTAGGTGTCGCAAAAGGAGAGAGTGAAGTTCCGAAAGTGGCCTTTGAGCAAGTTTTTTTTGGCGGGGGGGTACTCGACCCGGGTCCGGGGAGGGGAGCCGGGGGGCCGTAGAGGGGGGGCCGGGGTAGTCGGTTCGAAAAGTCTCTGCAAAGATTCCAATTTGGTGCAAGCTGCGTCCAGCCCCGTGGGTTCTGGGACGTCGGGGCAGACCGGCCCGGGGCCGGCGACGGGGGCGGCTTTGGTCAGGTTGCTGTATCGGGGGCTGCAGGTGCCCAGGGACGCTGTAGCCTCGCCGGGCGACGGCGGCAACGGCAGCACCGCGCGAGGCGGCACCGGCTGCCGCTCGCGGCCGGCCCCCCAGGGCGGCCGCATGGCGCTGCTCAGCTCCCTGGCCCGGGGCCGGGCCCCCGCGCACAGCCACAGATGGTCAGCGAGCAGCACGGTGAAGAAGAGCAGGGACGCCAGGGACAGTCGCCATCGCTGCGCCCGCTCAGAGTCGGCGCAAGGTTTGTCGCTTGGCCTGGGAGCCCAGCAGCAGCAGCAGCAGCAGATAGTCAGCGCGGCGGCGTCTTTCCCGGGCCACATCCAAGCGCCCCTGAACATATTTCAGGGGGGGGAGTCCGGGCAGGAGGGAGTAGGCAGGAGCGAGGCCGGACGGCTGTCTCGGGCGGGCGGGCGGGCGGGCTGGCGGGCTGCGCGCCGCTCCGCGCTCCTCGGCGCCGTCCAGGCTTTACCTCGGTGGATGCATGGTGAGACAGACAGGCCGGCCGGTCCGGGGCGCCGCTCAGGCCGGAGTCGCTGGGCGCTCTCGAGCCGTCCCCGCGCCCCCTCCCGCGCTCCCTCGTTCGCCGCCCGGACGCCCGCCGCCGCCCGGCCCGCTAGGCGCTGCCCGGCGTCCCGGCGGGGGGCGGTGCGGGGCAATGGGGCGGTGGCGGCTGCGGCGGCGGCGCCGCACTCCTCATAGTGTCGGGCCCCTCAGCTGCCCTCGGCTCCGCGCCACTTCACTCCGCGCCGGCGGCCGCCCGCCTCGCACTCAGTTCTGGCCGTCTCGGCTCGGCGCAGCTCTGCGCCCCTCAGCGCCGCCGTGCGGGCCCCGCCGCCGCGCTCCGCTCCGCTCCCCTCGCCCCGCGCCGCTCCTCTCCCGCCCGTCCGCCCGCTGACCGCTCCGCGCCGCTCCCTGCCTCGCTCGCGCCCTTCCTAGGCCGGCCGGCCGGTCCGTTGCCTGGACCCTTCGGGCTTCGTTCGCGCTCCGCTCTTTGGCCCGGGTAGGTCCCGGGCCGGCTCCGCTCCGGCTCCGCACCCGCTGCTCCCGGAGTTCCGGCTCGGGCGGGCCACCTGGCTCCCGGCAGCGCCACAGGCACCGGACGCGGACACCGGGCTTTACTTAGTGCGCCTCTCGCTTCCGCCTCTCGTCCGCACCGCTGTGGCGGCCGCCGAGCGGCACGGCCCCGTGGCTCCCGCCGGCTATACCCCCTCAGTCTGTCGCCATCTTCCGCTGTGCGGAGAACACCTTGAGAGCCCGTGTGCGAGTGTGTTTGGGGGAGCGGGGCGGAGAAAGAGGCACCGAGAGGAGGAGGGAACGGGACCGGGGCCCCGACTGCGCCTGCGCCTCAGGACTCTCTCCCCCCCCCCACCCCGCCCGCACCCCACCCCAGCCCCCGCCGGCCGCAGCCTGTGCTGTTTGGGGATGTTTCCAGTCCACCCCCCAACTCCATTCACTTCAGTGCCTCCGTTCATCCGCCTGCTCCCCGCGTGCACAAGCCACACGCTGAGTCCCAGGCCCGGGCGATCCCCCTCCCCCACTAGCCTGGGCGCCCTCCTCCCTCCCCGGAGCCGCCCCTCTTTGCTCCCGAAGGCTAAGAGACTTCTGTGGGTGAATGTCGGGGACCAGAGGCAGGAGGCGTCTCCATAACGTCTCGCCGCCTCCCCGGGTCGCCTCCCCCGTCCCCGTGACTAGGAGACACTGGAACCGGCTGCTGATCGGACCAGTCCCGTGTCCCCAACTCTGCTGTCGCCCTCACTGTCCTGCCCGAGGCCGAGGCGGCTACTGGTGCTGAAGGACAGCTCCCAGTTTAGCTGCCGAGGAGGACCGAGCTTGGAGAGCGTCCTGGAGAGGGCAAGCAGTGGGCTAACACAGGTAGTAGTGCCAGGGTGTCGTTTTTACCCTTAGGAACATTGCCAGCAGCCTCCCCCCCTCCCACCCCCCAGTCCCGGTCCTAGCTTCCTGGCTCCCCCTACAGGCTGCTGAGAATAGCTGAGCGAGAGTTAGGGAAGCTGCGCTGGCGGCAGGGAACCATGTGCTTGGGGCCCTCACCGAGTCACATGGCACTAGGAACTCGGACGTACAAACGTCCGGCCGCGGCGCCACTAACCTTGTTTGGGCTCAGACGGATCCTGCGGTTTACTTCCTTTCCTCACTGCTTCTGACTCTCAGTAACGCTCATGTTCTCGTTTTTAATAGACCCTTGACAGAAAATAATAATAATACAGGAAAAAGCCCTTATTGAGAGCGTGCTACCAGAGGCACTTGCATTGCCCATCTTATATTCATGACAACCTTATGACATGGGGACCACAGGGAGCACCATTTACAAAGGGAGAAGCTGATTAAGTTGCCTTAAGTAATCAATGCAGCCAACACAGAACCCCTGGCAGGCTAGCTTTAAAGCTCTACTAACACGCCAGCTAAGCACTGGAAACATGACGGAGTGGGAACAATTACTTCTACCTTAACGGAAAAATATATTTTGTATTAAAAGATAAGACATAGATGTTGGTTTGTGGACGAAGTCATGGACTGGAGACTTGAGACCCGGTGATAGTTCTACCGCCAAGCAACCTGTGCACTCCTCAGTGGTTTTTTTTTCTTTCTTTCTTTTTTTTTTTTGAGTTTTTTTTTTCTTTCTAGCTTTTCATTACTATGATGACTTAAATACCCAAGGCAGCTAATTTGTAGAGAAAGGAGTTACTTAGAGCCCATCGTTGTAAAGGTTCCAAATGTGAATAGCATGATGCAAGCTTGGGGCTGAATCCATTCAGAGGAAGGGTCCACATTGGTGATCCTGGAGGCAGAGGGAGTAGGCAGGCACAAGATGCAGAAATCACCAGAGAATTCCCCTCCCGTTGTGCCCACCCTCCGTGATCTAAGGCCCTCTTAAGATGATCGCATCTCCCAATGACACCACCTTGGGAACCATGCCTTTAACACATGAGTCTTGGGGGACATTCAGCATCTGAACTACAACACCGAGACTTGCCTCTCCCCTAACATGAGGGGATAATAAGCTTCAAAAAATATTGTTGACAGTCGTTGCAGTATTTTGGCATCAGCTGGGCTGAGTGCCTGGTTGCAAAGAAAGTTTCTGGAAGAGAAAGCCTTGGAGTTAGTTTCCTAATGAAGTATTAGGATTTGGGTGGGTGGGAAAAGCACTGCAGGTGAGAGGATCGTGGGTGAAACATTTCAGGGACAAATAGCAGACCTGTATGTTTGTTAAGCCATGAGTTTAACTATGCGGATCGTGTCTGCGGGGAAGGGAGTGAGGTGTCTGCTGGGAAGGGGATATGAGACCAGAAAGAAAACTCTCAGCAATCTGGGAAACATGATTATGTTCTGAGCACTGTGCTGGGGTGTGGGGGGGAGGGCTAGATGGGCTTCTGAAGTGGATCAGATATAGCCTTGTTTTTGAGATGCTCACAGTTAAATTAGGGAGGCAGATACGTTACACAAGGAAGTGTAAGCAAATGCAATGAGAATGCTCCTGAGTGGGGCCTGCTGCTCATGGAGCGAAGGACCCATCAGCTCTTGCCAGCTTCCCTTAGAGATAATTTTGTGTACTTGAGCTGGACTATTACATTTGTGCTGTTATTTGTCAAATATCTATTGAAATTCTATTATGTTTCAAATGTTGTAGTCAATATCAGCAATGCAGACATGAATAAAATATGTGTCTTGGGCTAAAACCGTTTGGTTGAGGTTTTAGGGATGAATAGGAACTGACTAGACAGATGACAGAAAAGGTGGCATGTGAATGATGTTCCAGGCAGTGGGGATGTCATGTGTAAAGGCCAGTAGCAAAGCCAGCAAATGCATGTTCTGAAACCTGCAAAGCAGTTCATTGCGACTAGGTGTGAAGTGGGAGCACTGCCAAAAAAATGAGACTGGGGATTTGGCAGGAGCCAACTCATGAAGGGCCCTCAGTGCCATGCTAAGTAGTTTGGACTTTATCCCAAGGGTACTAGGAGCCATGGAAGAGGTTGAAATGTTTTCAGCAGGAGCTGACACGATCAGATTTGTATTTTTAGAAGATTGATTTGGCTGCAGCCTGGAGACTGGGTTGGAGGGGGTGAGACTAGAGGCACAAGAGCCAGTTACCAGACTAGTTAGCCCGGGGGTGGGGGGGTGAAAGACGCTGAGAACTGAACAAAGGCAGAAGCACTGAGGGCAGAGAGCAGAAATGCACAGGGAAAGAAAATGAGAAAGAGGGAATTGGAGGGACCTAGGTCTGGCCTAGATGTAAGGAATAAAGAGGAGCTTCAAAGAAGGAGGGTGAAGCCAGAGGATTCCAGGACACTGGCAGGGCTGCCCCAGCCCTCCTACAGACTGTCTTTTCGGAGTCAGTCTTTGTTTAGTCCTTGGAGGGTTCAGTGTTCTGTTTAACAAAGAAGGCTAATCGCTTTCAGACACCTAGGTCAGAGCTGATTGGCAGGGCCACAGTGATTGACACGGCCGAGTGCCAATGAAAGGGCAGCCTAGGCGATCAGCTCTGAGCACCTCTGGAGCTTTCTGTGAGAAGTCACTCAGGCAAGACTCCCTCCCTCTCCCCCAGAGCACACAGGGTGAAAAGTGTCTCACAAAGGTCCATTTAGCACAGGAGCACAATATAACAATAACTTACCCACAGAATACCCACCACACACAAAGGGGAAGTGGTAGCAAGCAGACTGGCAGCCAGAGAAGGCTCTCATTCCCTCGTTCTAAGTGACACACGAAATTAGGATGGGGCAGGGAAGGGACTGGTCTCTAACCAGCCCTTGAGGTAGAATAACCAAAGGTGGGGGTGGGATGGGGGCAGGGCACATAGCTCCACACAGCAGGTGGGCCCTGACCAATTGTCCTCCTAGCCTTTCCTCTCCACCTGCCTCACTGGAGGCTAAAGCTAGAAAATAAAGGTGAGTCACTCCTAAGGGACCCAGGGTGCCCAGGAAGAATACCCTCTAACCTGGCAGGGAGTGGGAGGAAGAGATAGGTGCACACAATTTGGAGCAGAAGAAGGAAGGCAAAATTTTGACTGGTGCAATGCTGACAATTAAGGAAAGATAAAGTAGAAGTCATCTAGAGGGACCGATGTGATTTCACAGGGAACCTTCTGTTAAGCTCAAATCTTAAAAGGTCATGGACAAGAGCTATAAAGACAGGCAAGTAATTATGGGTTGGAGGAGTGTCTAAGACCCTGTGAGAAGAGTGTCAGGATGGCTAAAGCGCAGCTTGAGCTGCAGCTTCTAGGTTTTTGCCCCCTTCTCCCTCTGAAGTTGAAGTAATTTTCTGTCTATCTGCAGGCTATACCTTTCTAAAGACAGGAAGGATTGAAATAATCCTAGCTTGGACGCTGGAACTTGGCATTAAGCCAACCCTCTTCTGTTGGCTAAGTCTGATCTTAAGTTTTCATAGAGCTTC